GGAGAAGAGTTGAGAAGTTACTGTCTCCACATTGCCATGCTTGAAGGGATATGTTCCTGATCTAGAACAGCATCAGTGGGAATGTAAAAAAGATTTCAAAGAATAGTCCATCAGCTTTATAACAACATTGTGGACTCTTCAGAGTTAATTATGAGGAACAAATGAAATAATAGATATGGAAGGTGTTTCTTTTTCTTTACAGAGCTGGGGATGAAATTTAGGGATATCACATGCTATATCCTCAGCCCTAAAGCACACTTTGCAGGGGTGTACAGGTGTGTGTGTGTGTGTGTGTGTGTGTGTGTGTGTGTGTGTGTGTGTGTGTATGTGTGTAGGACAGAGGTCAACCTCTAGTGTAGTTCTTCAGGAGCTGTCCACCTTATCTTTGAGACAGTAACTCTCATTGGATCATGCCATTTGGGCCAGGCTGACTGACCAGCAAGCCCCAGGGATCTGCCTGGCTCCAATTCCCAGAGCTGGAATTACAAACACATGCCACCATGACTGGAGTTTTATGTGGGTGATGGAGACTGAATTCAGACCCTCCTCCTTGTATAGCATTTTGTCAACTAAGTTAGAGCTATCTCTCTAACCCCTAAAGCACAGGTTTTCAATACTAATCTACCACAATGTGTGCAGTTTGATTTGCAATATGAATAATTAAGCTCAATGCTCCTACATAGAGGGAACACCCCGGTTGCCAGGTCAAAAGGCAGCATGGTGGCAGAAGCATCCAGTCACAGTACATAATCTTAGCTTTTCCTCCCCTCCCCTCATCTTATAATCAGTACCAGGTAACCGGTGCCTTCTCTGTTAAAGTAAACAGTTATATAATTTTACTACCAGTTACTTAAAATAGCAGCACACTAAAAAAGTTTTTAAAGCTGGTAAATAAACTCCATCCCCTCATTTTATGGCAGAGTAAACAAACTCCTAGGATTTCTCTGAGAGCATTGGAACAGGTGTCTTGGAACAGTGCAGGGGGTGGGTTTCTGCTGGTCATACTCATGGGTGTGAACCAACGGTTATGCTTATTCACCAGCCACTAAAAGAAGCTCATAATCCAGGATACTTGTAACCCAAGGCAAAATTCCTTTGAAAAAGACACAGAGATGCTGGATATTGGCCTCTTATCCCTACCCAATCAACAAATCAGTCTAATCATGACTAGGGATCTTTGGCTCCCTCAACATGAAATGTTCCAGCTTTGGGCCAGAAAATTTTAACTCTTGGATGAGCAATCACATTCTACACCCCAGAGTAAAGACAGATCTTTTTGGGCTCTTATTAATGCATGAGGTTATGCCAAAGACTCTGGCATGATGATCGTGAGCCCACCATTTTATCTGCAGCCCCATTTGGTTAGATTCTTCATTTGGCATACCCAAGGGGATTGCTGATCTTCTACCCTCTGCAGTAAATGAGTGTCCTCATTTATCATGGCTTCCAACTCTTACCTTCTGGAGCCAATGCTCAGCTGTCTCTGCAAGGTCAACCTTATGCAGTTTCCTCACATTCCATCTCTTCAGAAATAAGTTTTGGACATTTGAGCTATACATTCTAGGCTCCAAATCTGCAGGGCCATCTTCAGATACAGTGGTTGGCAAAACACTCACAGGGCCTCCTGGTTCCTCCTCTTCTGAGCCTCATAGAACACATGTGCCATGGCTCAGAGTAAAGGTAACAGTGGAGGCAGGCAGGACTGAAACTGGCTGAGAAGAACAGTGCTACACGGGACAGCCAGCTCATTGAAGGTCATATTCACCCCGAGTTCCACAGCTATTTCTAGACAAGTGTGCTTGTAAGTTGACATCTCAATGTGTAAAATACCCCATCCCACTTTCTACTTGTCATTGAGGTAAACTTATTTCAAGAAAGACTCTCTTAAAAATTTTATATAGGTATTATAAAGTCTTTCAAGAAGAAAATAGACTTAAAAAGTCAGCTTACTGCTGGGCATGGTGGCGCATGCCTTTAATCCCAGCACTTGGGAGGCAGAGGCAGGCGGATCCTTGTGAGTTTGAGGCCAGCCTGGTCTACATAGTGAGTTCCAGGACAGCTGGGGCTACAGGGAGACCCTGTCTCAAAAAGAGCCCCCCCCCCAAAGTCAGCTTATTATATCTACCAAGCTAGCTTTTCTAGTGTCACTGACATGTTTGAGCCTCAGAAAAAGAATATTTTTCCTTTTTTTTTTCTCATAAAAGGTTCTTGGTCATTGGATATCAATGGTCATTCACTTATTCCTTAATTTGTTTTTACCTTTTATTCGAAAAATTTCTGATCAATTTTATGATTTGTTTCAAGGCATCAAAATGTTTTGTGTACCTCAGGAAAATACTTCTGACAAAGTTTTTGCCAAAGTTCCTGTTCATTATCATGTTTATATTTCCCTTCTAAAGATTGCTCAGGACCGGATGTGCTAACTTTAGATGACATTTCAAAATAAAAATTAAAAAAAAAAACCTGGCCGAGTCTTAATGCTGAACCTGAATATCCTTACTATACATGCAAAATTGAGTCTCTGAGCTTTTGAAGTAAAAGGGTGCGGTGAGAAACAGAAGGTCAAACGGGCATTCAGGAGAAGGAAACACCAGTCACTCACTGCTCAGCTACCAACTTTGCAAAGAAACTCACTGAGGCAGAATTATCCATGTGTGCAATTATCATGGTTACAAGACTATCTAGTCAACACGTCCCTGGACTTGTGTGTTTTCTTTCATATCGTTTGGAAGCATAATATTACAATTTCTGTAATGGCTTCCAAATCTGTGAATGAAGTCTCACACATGTAAGGAAGTTTAAAGAAAATGAAATTCTCTAATGAACTCCAAATTTCATTCTGCTGTGGTTTCCCTTTATTTACTATAAGTTATCTCCAGTTTTAAAAAGCTTTAAAAGTCTGTAAGGATTCTGGGGATGTAATTAATTGGCTGCAAAGCACACAAATCCCAGAAAGACACTTTTGTCAAATTATCTTATCTTACTCAGGATCTTATTAGCCCACTGATTTTTCGTGGTTTCAGATTTCCCTGAATTGGGATTAAATCAGTGTGTTCTTCCCACTGCATAATTTAGGAATGCTTAAAAACGATGTAATTACAAACCTCAGTGGTAGATTGTGAATTGCGTTCACCATCATCACTGTGGTGAGTATGGTTTCCATGGCTTTGTATCTGTTATTGGATACCCATGGCAATTATAGGCTTGGATGAGATCCAACACTACACATGGAAGCTGGGGAAATGCCAATGTTTTGTGGATTTAGAGGAATTTTGAAGGGAAAAAGTTATTTAAAATAATAAAACAGTTGATGAAAGAGTGAGTATAAGGTTTTTACATTACGCAGGTGCAACCTTAATTTTATACATGAGAACAGTCTTAGCCTATTGACCTTCCTGAGGGTGGAAGACAACACTTTGGGTAACTACTGATTCTAATTTGTAGTGCTTCCTACAAATTGAAATTGAAATGCCTTGTGAAGGTTCTCCAGATCCATATTCCTCATCTGCTCACTCCAGCCCACACTCCCCTCCTTTACATGGACTTTCTTTCCAAGTTCTCAATTCTCTCATTCTCTACACACAGGAGGCCCATTTGAAACTATGGGCAGTCGGGCTGGAGAGATGGTTCAGCTGCTAAGAGCACTAGCTGCTCTTGCAGAGGACCTGGGTTCAATTCCCAGCACCCACATGGCAGCTAACAACCATCGGTAACTCCAGTTCCAGGGGAATCTGACGCCTTCTGCTGCCCTCTGAGGCCATTGCATGACATGGGTGCAGTTACACACATGCAGGCAATACACTTGTATACATAAAATAAAAATAATAAATAAACTTAAAAAAAAAAAACTATGGGCAGTCTTTCTCATCCAGGAAGTCCATGCTCCTGAGACACCAACCACATACTTTCTGATTCTAATTGTATGTCAAAAGTCCTTTCATGCTTACAGAGAACACCACTAACACCACCACCACCACCAACAACAAGGAAATTCATGTAATTTCTCTGTTAGTGTAAGGTGTTCATAATCTACAGGTAAATAATTTCCAGTAGTTTCCTTTAGAATACAGTCTTAAGTATGTCGAAACTGCGGTATTAGATTCTAAGTTTCCTATTCTTCTGGCACACTCAAGTCATGAATTTAAATTCTTTTTAGCTACCCTCATCAAATTTCTCTGAGGTATATTTAGATAATCAACATGTTTTAGTATTTCATAAATAAGTAACTTAATGGAAATAAAAACTAGCCTCTCTAGATATAAAAATTGAACAGTTCCAATTGTTTCCTTTTCTCTGTCTAAAAAGATACACACTTTGATCAGCTTAATTCCCTGTTTTGCATTTGTTTATAAATGAAGTGAATTGTGCTGGGAAGAGTTTTGTCTCCCAGTGAACACAATAACTCTCTTGTGATTTGCTGAAATCAGGTGGTATTCATTTACTCTCTTTCTTGAAGTTCATAGTAAAAGCAAACAGGTAAAATTTTTTTTGTTAAAATCTTCAGCTTGATAGATCAAAGACTTTGAAACTAGACAAATGTAGACCTTAGACTAAAAGACATAGGCTTTTGAAGCAACCCAGGTGGTGGGGAAAAGGCAGCTCTGCACAAACTGAATGAGTTTAGTCCATGCATTAAAACGTTTTCAGAAAATTCTTGTGAGGTTAACAATGGGTACTGAAAAGGGTGCATTACTGCCTTTGTGATTTACTCTAGGGAAAGTAAAAGGAGAATTTAGGTACAATGAATTGGTACCTCCCTTTCTTGAATTTGATTAGCAAACTGGAACATTTGGCCAACTGGTTCCAGCTGGGTGTTGCTGGTGTCTAGAAACCTCTCCCTGCAGCTTTCCTACAGTAGCTGCTGTGTTGTGTAGCAAATAATTAACCTTGTCACCTGGGACCTTGCATGCCTGCTTCTAAGTATGATGAGTTTCAAACTTCATCTGGAAAAAAAGAATACAGATCACCCCATCTTACAGTACAAGTTTAATAGTCCACACTAAAGCAGGCCACACACCTTCACAGCTCACAGTGGAAGCAATCCTGCCTTACTTCACAATGCTTCTAACTTAAGGGTGGGTCTGGCCCATCCATTTGGATATGGATGGAGTAAGTAACTCTAAAGTGCACTTCTCAGTCACTAAAAACAGCATTGTGAGTTCTCTCCAGAATCCTCAGTAAGAACATGGCTTCCTCCTTTGAGAAGTTGCAGAATTGAAGTTCAATTACTGTCTCAGAAAGATTCATCTACCCATCTGACACCCACAGGTGATTTGGAAAAAGCCAAGACCTCAGAATAGCTTTTTGAAGGAAACAAAACCCCCAACTTCCTCAGCAGCAGATACCCTTCCTTACCACAAATAAATACTGAATGCATCTTTGAGCCATAGGGTATTGAAGACTCAGTTGACACTTCACTTTCCAGAAAAAATTAATTCTTGAAGGCTTTGTGTGAATATTCTGAACTTGGGTGAGACACCAAGTGCTGAGCAAGTCAGAACTCTCCAGTTTAGACCTGGGGGGGTAGGGGAGTAGTGCGCAGGACAGTCCTGGAAGCCTGCTCAAGCTATTTCTTGTCCTCCTGGGGGTCGTCTGGAAAGTCGGCCTCCTCAGGGGACCTGTCTCCTCCGGGGAGCAGTGTGGCACGCATTTTCCTCTTCTCCTTAAAGCGACCAGAACGCGAGATCTTCAAATTGCGCCGGCTGTTGGCTACTTTCTCCGCGCAGAACTTATCTGGCCTGGGGACCTCCCCGGCGTCCCCGAGGAGCACGTTGGGGTGCTGGTTCTCTTGGGAGCAGCTAGTCCAGTCCGAGTCCTGCGGTGAGAGATCCCCGGGGTCGAGCTGGGCCTGAGGCTGAGCCCCCACAGTGACTTCTTTACTTTTCTTCCTGGTTAGTGATTTCCACCAGGGGTCAGAGCTGCCTGTGCCGCCGCTGTCAGCCATGGCCAGCAGGCTGGGAGACCCTGGGCGCCCCGCTTGGGGGAAAGGCCTGGGCCAGGAAGGCCCGGCTCTGTCCCTAGTCTCGGGTCGTTTACTCCAGCCCTTCCTGGCTTCTTCCCCAGCAGGCTGCGGGTGGGAGTGGAGGCAGCGCCCTGTACAGGGAAGAAAATAACACTTGCGTTGGTCAAAGTCACCGGTCTCCCATTTTCATGTCCTCCCTCCCGATAGGTCAGCAGAGGTTGAATCGTCCCAGCTCCAAACCCCGGGTCCCCGAGAGCGGAGAGGGAGGGCAGAGAGCGACCTCGGTGTGGCACCGCGTGATGGACAGGCTGAGCCTTGAACTCCTGGGCCTCACCTTTCCCTTGGCTCCTGGGAAGCATAGAGGTCACCCAGGGGAGATCCTAGCCATCCGGATGAGCCCGGCTCCAGAGGGATGATGGCTGGCCCTGCTCACTCAGTCTCACTGTAGAAGGACCTGGTACTGGTGCCCACTGGCCGTAGACGGCCTTCTTTCCTAAGAATGCCCAGGGAGAGGCTTGGCACCAAGTATGTCCCGCCCACTACAGGTGAATGATGAGGACCGGGCCAAATAGACCTGAATTTCTTCAAACCCTTTTCCCTTTACGCCACGTCGCAGGATCTTTTTGGACACGAGACTTTGGGGAACTTAAATCCAAACCAGAAAAGGACACGCTCATGTTGTTTGTTTTGCTTCTTTTAAACCGCTTTAAACCACTTCTGCCTTGTGACTCTCAGACAGCGTCTAGACTTAATTTCCCTTGAAAACCGCCATCCCACTCTTCCTTTTACTCCCTAGAGGCCAATCCCACGATTTTAGGAAGGCCACGCGCCACAGCCAATGTTGGGATGAGGCCAAGGGGCAAATGTCCTCCCCTGCTCCCCCTTAGCTATGTTTTAAAATGTGTTTCGCGCCTGTACCATGTAGCTCAACTCTTGGGCAGTTTAGTTACAGATTAAAGACTGTGCTTTCTCTCAAGAAATACCAACCCCTGAAGGAGAGAGCAACCAGGAACTCCAAACTATGGGCTTCTGGCCCTAACTCTGAATAGCGGAGCCAAAGTTTGCTGGCTGCTGCTGCTGCTAGCTGGTCTCCTCGCCGACGTTCAGTAGGTTCTGCGGCTCCCAGCTGCCGTGGGTGCGCAGGGCTCGCGCTGGCAGTTTCTTGATTCCTGCCGGGCTGCTTCCCAGCTCAGGCGCTGGGATTCGCCAGTGCGTGAGAGACAGAAACTTTGGTGGTGTTTGTTGTTGCAGGTTTTCCTCAGAACTGCCAGAGAGAGGAAGTCCCAGCGCCTACCCGAGGCTGCGAGGTCTCGGCGGAGTCCCGAAACCCTGGCACCAGCTCCTCCCCGGGATGTCCCGAGGACACTCCGGCTGGGACTCAAAACCGCAAAAGCCAGAAGTTCTTTCTCTACAAGCGCCCACACCCTCCGCACCATTTGGCACCTGGGTTTGCAAACACCCCACTCCCTCCTGCCTTGCAGACAGGAAGGGCTCACCCCAAGGAATTTATTAATGCCTGTGGGCTGCCTCGTCGCCTCGGTACCCCATCCCACAAAGGCTTTGGGCGAATTGCGCAAGGAAAAGTTGGCAAATTATGCGAAAGTAAGTAGAGCGCAGTTCTGGGCGGCAGGAGGAGGGGAACCGCGGGGCGCCGGAAAGCACCCGAGTGACATCATACCGCCAAGCTCTGTCTCGGCTTCCCCTCGCAGAAGCACCCCGGGTCACTCACCTGCTGGGGCTTCCTAGGCCTGGCGTGGTAGCGCCGCGGGGCGCCTTGAGGCCACCTGCAGCCCAGGCGCAGTGCCCCAGGCCGCGGTCGGGGACAGATGCGGGAATCGCTGCCGCGAGTCTTGCCTTGGCACCTTCACCCAGGATGCGGGAGCAGCCTGGGCTGGCAGCGCGATGGGTACAGGTCGCGAGATTCTCCTGTGAGATTCTCCGCCCTAGGGTCAGCAGTTTTTTCCGATGGGAGCCTCACATTGTCCCTGCTTCGGGTTAGCGCTGCTCAGGAGTTCGGCGGAGGAGGTGGGACCCTGGCTGCTCACTCCTGGAGCACTGAGCCTTTCCAGGCAGGCGTCGGTAGGAACGCGCAGAGATGCCTGCCCACCTGCTGGTCGCTGGCCAAGGGACTGAAGAGGCCG